GACCACTTAGGTGGCTGGATTATGATGCTGTATGTGGAGGCCAGGTTAGAGTGGGAAATGGCAGCACCCTCTGCTGCGGATTGCCACTGGGGCTGCTGGCTCTCATCCAATCACCCACTCCCTCACTTGTCTATCCACACACGAATGTGCGACCACAGTCAACCCGCAGCCCTGCTCCCTCGCTGTTTCCCCGAGATTGCTAGCTGAGTTGCCCACCAGGTCCAACCCTGCGCCTGGATCCCGTGCCTGAGTCCGTCTGACGGAGTTTTCCTGTGCTACCCCGCTCTGCCAGCTGCTGATTTCGCCCCTCTTACTGGTCAGGCTGAAGAATTTGTTGTTATCAGACTTCCGAAAAGTTCAATTTTCTGTGTACTGGCTGTGTTTTCTGTTGCTATTATTTAGTTGTCTCTAAACTTGGTTGTGTGAGGAAGCACAGCGTCTCCACCTATGCTTCCATCTTGGCAGAAGTCCTCACTCTTTTTTAAAAAATATATTTTATTAATTATGCCATTACAGTTGTTCTATTTCCCCCTTCATTCTCCTCTACCCTGTACACCCTCCCCCACCATCCCCCCCTTTAGTTTATGACCATGTGTCTCAAGTTCTTTAGATTCTATATTTCCCATCCTATTCTTGCCCTCCCCCTATCTATTTTCTACCTACCATCCATACTACTCATTTTCTGTACCTTCTCCCCCCTTCTCCTTCTCCCACTCCCCTGTTGCTAACCCTCCATGTGATCTTCATGTCTATGGTTCTACTCCTGATTTAGCTGTCCTCTTAGTTTGCTTTTGTTTTAGGTGTGGTTTTTAATAACAAGTGTGAGTTTACTGTCCTTTCACTGTTCATATTTTTATCTTCTTTTTCTTAGATAAGTCCCTTTAACATTGCATATAATAAGGGCTTGGTGATGATGAACTTCTTGAATTTGATCTTATCTGAGAAGCACTTTATCTGTCCTTCCATTCTAAATGAAAGCTTTGCTGGATAGCGCAATCTTGGTTGTAGGTCTTTGGATTTCATGACTTGGAATACTTCTTTCCAGCCCCTTCTTGCCTGTAAGGTCTCTTTTGAGAAATCAGCTGACAGTCTGATGGGAAGTCCTTTGTAGGTAACTGTCTTCTTATCTCTTGTTGCTTCTCCTCATTCTTGATCTTCAAAATTTTTCCAAGAAATTCTGTCAGTGGGACTTGAAAAGAGAATATAGTAAAAAGCTCCAAGACAGGAGGAATTTCTCATTCACTCTTTGAGCAAACACAGCGTGAGCTATGTTGTCACTGGTGAAATGTAGGCAGGAGGGGATCCCAGTGGAGAGATGGGATATGGGCCCTAAAACCTGGGTGACACAGGAGGATTGACAATGACCATTTACAACCTCACTTTTATAAATTATGAAGAAGGGGGAGGAGGTAAAGAAGAAGTGGCAGTGGGGTGGGGGGGGCAAGAAGGAAAGGAAGGGAGGGGAGGAGAAGAAGAAGGAAGAGGAAAAGGTGAATTTTTATTTCAGTTAGTTGTATATGTTTTCTCATCAGGCTTCGTTGAAATACTGAAAATAGCTTTTAGACCTGCCCTTGACAGCCTCTACTTCCACCCAACATTAACTCCAGAGATTGTTAGAATGTAAGTCTTCCCATGGAAGACTAAAGTCAGAACTAAATTATTGAATAGGTCCAGTGAAGGCACTCTCTCAGTTTTCTTCCTGTTGTAATTTTTACCTCTTGTTAGCTGATTTTGACCATGAATTTGCCACAGTTCAGTGACAGATGTGTATGAAAGTGACAGAACCTGTGTGATGACAACACAGCTGAGTCACAGCCAGGTCACCCTCAGAAAGGGCCTGCAAAATGCAGAGTGCAGGCTGGCCTTTGCTGAGAAAACTTTCTCAAGCACACATACATGATAAACATGTGCCTGGACAAAGACATGATTGCCAAATGATAGTTAATATTCTGATGTAAGTGGTATAAAAGATAATTGATTACTTATAGTCAATTATATTGCCTCGAACTAGTACTCCAGACCTGGGACCTGCTCCTAGAATCTCAACTTGTAGCCCAAGCATAAAAAATTTCCCCAGAGCTGCTTTGTTACTTTGCCTCTCTTCTGAGCTATATCACAGGTACCTTCCTGGATGATCATGTGGCCTGAGCACCCTCAACCTAATCATGTGTCTAGTTTTGTAATTTGACAGTTGAGGGTGTAGCTCCTTTGGCTCCGTATGCTATGTCATTCCTCTCTGCATCTGGTGCCTTCCATAGTACCAGGCACAGTGTAGGTCCTTGATAAATGCCCAGAAATGACCAACTACCTCACACATAGTTGTCCTCAGTAAAGACTTGTGAAATCAAAAGCCATTCTGGTTCTGGCACCGTGTTACAGACAGCTGGACTGGGATAATATTTGAGTTCCATTCGGTTCCCTCCTTGCTTGATTTCTCTATTCACATAAAACTTAGGGGAACTCTGGCTGGTGTGGCTCAGTGGTTGAGTGCCAGCCTGTGAATCAAAGAGTAGCTGGTTCAACTCCCAGTCAGGGCACATGCCTGGGTTGTGGGCTAGGTCCCCAGTAGGGGGCATGCAAGAGGCAACCACACATTGATATTTCTCTACCTCTCTTTCTTCCTCTCTTCCCCCTCTCTAAAAAAATAAATAAATAAATATTCAAAATAAATAACAAAATAAAACTTAGGGGAAACGATCCTTGATACAGATGAAGTGACTGGGCTAGAAACCAGCACAGAAAATAATTTCTCCTAGATTAAAAAGGAACGGCCCAGTGATTTCAATGTGTAAATAGAATATAATTATTTTTGAAAGGGCTTTCTAATTATGACCCAAAATCCAAAATCTATAAAAGAAAACATTGTTGAAATAGACTACACAAAACAAACAGCCCAACAAAAACTTCTGCATGGCAAAACAAACAAACAAACGAGAACAAAAAACACCTTAAGGAAAGTCCGAAGACAAGCAAAAAACAGGAACAAAACATTTACAACTCATATCTAAAGACTAAACAAAAATGAAAAGACCAGCTACCCAACAGAAAATCAGGCAAAGGCAATGAACAGATAACTCACAGACAAGGAAAAACAGCATAAAGATGCCTGGTCTAGAGATAAACAAATTCAGACTACATGGATACTACCTTCCACCTAGTAAATTATTAAAAATTTAGATGCTTAAAAACACCTGTGGCAAGGTCACAAGGAATATGGCAGTCTCATTATTATGGAAGAATAGGAAATAGGAGTGACCTCATGAAGGGCAATTTGGCAACATTTGTCAAAATTACTGATGTATTTACCCATTAATACAGTGATTAAACTCCGGGATTTGTCCCAAAGTGCAAAATGATAAATGCATTGCAGAAATATTTGTAATGACAGAATATCGAAAATAACCTAAATGTCCACTAATGGGGGATTGACTGAGTAAATTATAGGAAGTTTATAACTGGACTACCAGACAGGTATAAAAAAGGAATAAGAAGGCTCTCTATATATTGCTAGAGAAAACACTCCAAGATATATTAAGTGGAAAAACAAAAATAAAAACAAAACAAAGTACTGTTATAATGACATGGCTTATAAGCTCCCTTCCTGCTTTCCTTCTTTCTTTCTGCAAAAAGGAGGAAAATTGTAATCTGTAAATTGGTATTTTGTTATGTACATAGAGAAACACTGTAAGAAATCAAAACCAATGTTTTGAATAAAATATTTAGGAATAAATTTAACAAAAAATGCAAACGTGGTACATTGAAAACTATAAAACATTGTTGAAAGACATTAAAGAAGACCTAAATAAATGAAGCAACATTCCATATTCATTGATTAAAAACTTAACATTGTTAAGATGGCAGCCCTCCCCCAACTTTTCTACAGATTTAATGCAAACCCAATAAAAATCCCAGATGGCTTTTCTGCAGAATTTGACAAGCTAATCCTAAAATCATACAGAAGTTCAAGAGACCTAGAAGAGCCAAAACAACCTTGAAAAAGAAAAACAAAGTTGGAGGACTCACACTTGCCAATTTCAAAACTAACTACAAAACAAGAATAAAATAAGACATTGTGGTACTGGAATTATTGATAGACTGATCAATTAAATAGAATTGAAAGTCCCAAAATAAAGCCTAACATTTATGCTCAATTTATTGTCAGCAACGGTACCAAGACAATTCTCTGGGAGAAAAGAGCTTCTCAACAAACAGTGCTGAGACACATCCAAGAGAATGAATTTGATCTCTACCTCAAACCATACACAAAAGTTAACTGACAATGGATCATAGATCTAAATGTAAGACGTAAAACCAGACAAATTTAAAAGAAAACAGGAGTAAACTTGTGGGTTAGGCAATTATACCAAATGCACAAATGATTAAAGAGAAGACTGCAAGATTGAACTTCATCAAAATTAAAAACTTTTGTTTCACAGAACACCATCAAGAAAATAAAAAGACAATCCACAGACTTGGAATATATACTTGTAAAATGCTTATCTGATAAGAGATTTGTATTTAGAATATATAAAGAACTCTTATAACTAATAGAAAGGAAAAATTGTTAGATAGGACAAGAATCTTAAGGTCTGGGCCATTCTTACTAAACACTATTCTCACCGACTGTTAAAATGTAGCACAGTATTTTACAGACCACCTGTAACTGGATGAACTTGACAGCAACCCAACCCAGTAAGTGTAGTCAATGGAAATCAATGTGTAATCGCCCAAATAGTACTTATGAGCAATGGCTAAGCCTCCTTTCCGGATGCAGAGCTTTGGATATGAATACATGTTCTCCTTTACTTGCTGAAAGTAAATAAAACCACCTTGCAACAAGCATGTCTCTTTTCTGAATAGAGCATCCCGGGTGGTGAACCCCTTGAGTTCAGTACCAGATTTGATGACAGTGGATGGGACTCTTAAAAGAACTACCCTCTGGGCCTGGTGGGGGCACTTGGAGGAGCAGTCGGCAGTGAGCTCATCCAGGGCTTACTCACCTGCGTCTCCACTGGACGGGGGGTCTGTTCTATGGGAGACTCCCCCTCAGCACTGAGCATGGGAACTTCAACAGCGAAGCAGAGTGGCCACCCGAACCTCTTCCGCGCAGTGCTTCAGCAGGGGAGAGGGTAGTCACTTTAATTAGCGTTTCTATTCCTGTTAGTGTTGTCAGAAAGGTAGTTTCAGTTCTGGTGCGCGCTTGTTTCCGGTTGGTCAGGTAGAAACTGTGTCCAGGATGCCAGATTCAGGGCCTGACCTGAGGGTTGAGGGATGCCTGCAGGGCAATCCAAGACATTTGCAGTGACAAAATCTCTGGTCTGGTTGTCTGGTTGTCTGTCCTGCAGGAGATGGATTTTGTCCTTTGTGTGGATATTTGTGTTTGCCTTGTCTAATATGTAAATGTGCTGGCTATGGGAAAATTAAATTTAATAACTGATTGCAGCCCCTGGGGTGTACTCATTCTTCAGAATTTGATAAAAAGAAGTCTGTTTATTTGACTTAAAGACATTAAGCTCTGCATAAATTAAGAAATATGACAAACGGATCAATGGTAGGAAACCATCCTGTCAAGGTGGCCCTGCTCCAGGCTTGGAGTCGGCTGTGCATTAGGGAGGCACTATTTCCCAAGTGCAGTGTTGCAGGCTGACCAGGCACTGGCCCTGCCAGGAAGCCCAGGGTGGGGCAGCCCCATGCTTTGTCCCAGCAGGGGCAGCCATGGGGGCTAGGAACAGAACTCCTCTCTGCCACACGTGGGCTGGGACAGAGACAGCTGCAGGGAGGCCACACCACCCAGAGCTGTCCTTTCAGCAGACTGGGTCTGCCCTGTGGTAGGTGAGCCAACCAGCCTGGCCTGCCCTCTGCCTCCCACAGGCCCACATGTCTGGGACCTGGGGCTGCAGTAGCAGGTGAGTGCTGTGTGGGTGTCTGCAGCTGAACCGAAGTGAGGCAGCGCAGTGCCTCCTGTGAACAGCCCCTGCCACATGGCTGACTCTCCTTACTTTTCTGTCTCATGACAACCTGTGCCCTCACCTCCTTCCTGACTTCACTGTCAGTCCTGAGCTCTTATTGTTTCCAAAATGGGGACAAGGGGTGACAGAGCCACAGTCTGTAATAGGTGGGAACTGTGGCCTGTACATACCTCAGGTGACCTGCTCTTCTCAAGGCTCATCCCAGTGCCTGCTATGCAGTCAGTTTTGGGAACAAAGAGGTTGCCAGTGAGTGATGCTTTCTCCCCAAATCCTGATTTTCAGAGGGGCATTTGCCTCTGAGCTGCAGCTGTGTAGCTGGCTAACTGAGGGCGGTGTCTAACAGGATGTCTAATCACAGAGGGCCCGGTGCTGTGTGGGCCAGGAGAGGGTGGCCTCATGTGTGTGGCCTTATTCTCCTCCCGTGCGTGTGATTGTATGTACACACATAGAGCTTATGTCCCCTGTGAGCCTGCTGCCTCACAGGGGGCTTTTCTGTGGTGCACTGTCCCAGGGGAGTGGATGCAGAAGGCCGTGTCCAGCTTCCCTCTCCCAGGCCCAGATGCCTTACCAGGTGCAGCTCTTTACTTGGCAACAAGGGTCAGTGTGGCTGAGAAACCATGGAATGCTGACTGCATGTTGTATAGACCTGTCACATCTGGTATCCTTTCCTCCTCTGGGGCCGCTGGGCTTCATCCACTGGGCTTGCCCTCTGCACAGGGTCACTTCCTGCCCAGCTTCTACCTGTCCTAGCAGCTCGATAGGTGACCCCTGAATAAAAACCATGGCTGGGTGTCCTGAATTTTATGGGAAGAGATTCAACTATGATAGCACCTCCCCTTTGCCCCCTTGCTGGCTCCTTTGTCCTCAGGGAGGCTAACAGCCTGGTCCATCTTGCTCACTGGAGCCCCACCAGAGTGTGAGTTCGTGGGTGGCAGGGCCTCCATCTCCATGGTTCTTCCCACTGCTGCCTCACCCCTTGTGACACATGCCTCCTGTTAGAGTAGAGCTCTCTTCAAGCCCTTCTGTCCTCAGGACCCCCAGAACCTAGGGGGCCCCAAGGCTTTCATAAGATAGGCAGCCAGACTTTCACTGCTCCATGTCCAAACACACACTCCATCCATGTTCAACAGGAACCAGTTAGAGAAAGATGGCCCTTGTCCCTATTCCCTTAAGAAAGAGATGTGAAGTTGCAATTTCAAGATGGCGGTGGAGATTTCGGTGGAAGCTACACTTACCTCCTCCCAGGACCAAACTGGAATTACAACTAAAAGAATGGTCATCCTGAATAACCAACTGAAAACTAGCTAAAGAGGAGTCTTTTTTTAAAATAATTTTTAAAAAGAATTTATTTATTTATCTTTAGAGAGGAGGGGAAGGAGAGAGGGAGAGAAATATCAATGTATGGTTGCCTCTCGTGCATCCCCTGCTGGGAACTGGCCTGTAACCCAGGCATGTGCCCTGACTGGGAATCGAACCGCAATCCCACAGTTCGATTGAGTGTGGTTTGCAGGCCCACGCTCAATCCACTGAGCTATACCAGCCAGGGCTAAAGAGGAGTCTTATTACTAAAAATTTATGGAAGAAGTCACATTGAAACTGGTGGGAAGGGCAGAGATGCAAAAGGCCTGGCCCCACTCCCAGGGGCAGTGGCTGAGGTTCCAGAGGGATATCTCCACTGTGGGGGTTTCTCCATGAGAAGTGTGGGGTCTAAACCCAAAGCAGGGCTCTACAGCCAGGCTCTGAGCCAGGAAGGTGCCCACATAACATCTGTCTGTGAAAATCAGCACAGATTCTTTCTACCAGGGAGAAATAGAGTCTGTTGAAGCCACAGACACCCACTTAAAGGTCCGATGCACAAAACCTGGGCTCCAGTGGAGGGAGAGCAGAGCAGACTAAAATCGTGTGAGGAGAGACTGGGGTTTGTGTCTCTGGGGAGAAAGGGAACAGCCACCAGGCTCCCTGTGCTGAGTCACTCTCCCATACTGCAGATACCGTCTTTCCTGGCTGGAATACTTGCCTCTGTGTGGTATCAGCCTGGGAGAAAGAAATAGCCCTACCCTTGGGGCTCTATCTTGCCCCACTCTACAGAGCTTGGACCCTGCTGAGGAGTCAGCTGCCCTGGCCAGGGTGTAGAGGTCTGGGCAGACTCACGAGGTATTAGTGACTGACTTGTCCAGCTTTTGGGTGCAGTCATTCCCCTCACTTTTCCTTGAACCTGACTGGCACATTCACCACATTGGTGATTCAAAAGAACCACCTCCCAGCTCCCAGCAGACCCAATGTCAGGGCTCTGGAGGCCCTACCCACCTGACTCTTAGTGTCTGTGCTCTGCTGAGGCAGGGGAAAATCTGGGACTGACTGAGTTCTGTGGCATGAGGCCAGAGACTATACCAACCATCTTTTCTGAAGCCTGAATGGCACCTTCTTCTTACAGAAGATCCACAAGTCCCATCCTCCCACTGGATGCTCCGTCAGTGACTGAGCCTAACAGACAGCCAGCAGGTAGAGCTAGGTGTAGACAGATCTTGAGGTGCCTTGGGACTTTGCTGACCTGCTCCAGGGCCCACTGCTGGTAAAACCCAGCTTTGATGTGCAGCTTGGTCCTTCTCACAAGCATCCAAGCCCAGCAGATGCAGTCACAAAATGTGCATAACTCTTAACTCCAAACAGGTTGCCAAGGCCCAGACACACACAGCATCTGGCACTGGCCTACACCAAAGTACCTCCCAAGAGGCCCAGAACCAACATACCCCAGTGGCCAGCTTCAGAAAACATTAAAGCAGGATCCAATAAGCTTCACAAAGAGCATATCCAAAGGGAGAACTCGGCAGGCACTAAACCCGACTGAGGTGAATTCGTGTATAATGGTCAGCACCTGTACAATATCTCACACACTAGATCAGGGTTGTGCCTCACAGTCAGCAAGCCTGAGGGTTGATTCCACACACAAATGATCCAACAGCAATAAAGACTCAATTACAACAGGAGGGTACACATAACTCACAGAAGGGATATTCCAAGAGCACTCAGGTCAAGTGATCAAGGAGATCTGTGTCCTGTGGGACTGCACTACTGGGTCCCACAGGACACCTATTATATAAAGCCACTCTGCATAGACTGGGAGTCATAGCAGATCTACCTAATGCATAGAAACAAACACAAGAGGCAGCCAAAATTGGAAGACAAAGAAGAAGGCACCAAATGAAAGAACAGGAGAAATCTTCAGAAAAAGAGCTAAATGAAATGCAGGCAAGCAATTTATCAGATACAGAGTTCAAAGTAATGGTTATAAAAATATTCAAGGAACTTAGTGAGAACTACAACATGTGAAAAAGGACATAAAAGCCATGAAAAAGAACCAGCGGAAATGAAGAATACCATATCTGACATCAAGACTACACTGGAAGGAATAAAAAGGAGGCTAGATGAAGCAGAGAATAAAACGAGAGACTTGGAAGACAAGGTAGAAAACAACACACAATAAAAACATCAAAAAGTCTAAAGAACTAAAAAGAAAGAGGGTAGTTTAAGGGACCTTTGAGACATCATGAAGCATAGCAACCTCCACATCATAGGGGTGTACCAGAAGAAGAGAGAGAGCAAGGGATTGAGAACATATTTGAAAAAATAATCACCAAAAACTTTCCTAACCTGTTGAAGAAAAAAGACACACAAGTCCAGCAAGCACAGAGAGTCCCAAACTAGATGAGCCAGAGAGATCCACACCAAGACACATCATAATTAAAATGGCAACCATTAAAGAGAATCTAAAAAGCATCAAGAGAAAAGCAGTTAGTTACCTACAAAAAAATCTGCCCTAAGACTCTCAGCTCATTTCACAAGAGAAACATTTCAGACCATAAGGGATTGGAATAAAATATCCAAAATAATGAAAAGCAAGGACCTACAACCAGGAGTACTTTACACAGTATCATTTAAAATTGAAGGAGAAATAATGAACTTTCCAGGAAAAAAAGACCTAAGACTTTATTACCACCAAACCAGTATTACAAGAAATGTTAAAGGGCTTGGTTGAAGAAGAAGGAGAACAGGAGGAATAGAAAGGGACAGAGAAAGGGAAGGAGAAGGAGAAAGAAGAACAAGATGAAGAAGATAAAGACAAGAAGAAGGAGGAGGTGAGGAAGAAGAGAAGA